CCATAAGAACACAATGACTTCTTGAAAAGTTTTGACAGAAACCAGGCAGAAACACAGGCTAAATTACCAATGTGCCTCTTCATCTTTTCTCTTGTCAGCCAGATGGCTGGTGAATAGCTTGCCAGGCTGCTTGGCTTCTGGTTTTCATAGAATCCCTGACTTCTTGCCTGATGGGCTGCCAAACAGCTGGAAAGCCAGGTCTCCAGGAGCTCCTAAGCTTTTTGGCTTCTTATGGTCTCCAAGCTCTCAGACAACTTTGCATAGAACTTATGACCTGAGGCTCCCCAATGAGGGAGACAGAGGTTATGCTCTTAGTTTCTTTTAGCTTCCCAGCTTTCAGGTTGTGTATTTTACAGGAACTAGACTCCTACATTTGTAGACAAAGAAACTCAGGGCAGTCTATGTCAGTCTACCTCCAGACTAACATGTCTATAGGAGGCCCAAATAACACCTGATGGTCGATTTACTCACCTTCTAGGTGGCCCGTGCCAAGAATTATTGGATAGGCTGGTTCCACATGTACACTGGCAAGCATGGCAGCATGGCAAGCTATGAATTTGCCAAGCCAGGTCAGGCTTCCAAAAATTCCTTTTTCCCTCTTATAGCGCTCTTTTCAAGTTTAGTTCATAACAAATGCTTAAAAATTTGGAAAGTCTACATCCAGATGTCAGGGACTAAAAACTGCATAAAAATTAGATCAAATATAGAGAGGTAGGTGTGATGATGTTAAAAATCATAATGTCTAGAGAACACAAATAGGAAAATGGAAAGAGAGCAGTACGAACACTAAGTTTGAACTGCCAAGGTTTCTGTATAGAATTACAAGAAGCATAGCAAGGAAAACAAAAACTGGAAAATGCTGTAGATACTGAAGTAGGGAATTTTGACATTATAGGCTTAAACAAAGAATGGTACGTAAACAAAAATGTATTGGTACGACTTAAGTGTAAATATTTAAAGTATAAAACAAATTAACAACAGTGTGGATTATAGAGCATCACTGATCTTTATACACTACAGTTCTAAATTAACAAAATGTGTAAACAAAGCATCTTCATTTAAAATGGCAAATAATTTTACTATTTGTTAAATATCAAAAGAATTTCCAAGTTCAACTAGATTTTGTTGTTACTATTTGTAAAGAAATGTCCTGTGTGGTTTTATACATATGGTTATATTAAAATTTCCATAACAAGCAAAAAATCTATGTAAGAATCCTAAATAGTATGGGTCATCAGCAGCATATTTTCCACCCACAGGTTAGCTCCAGACTGCTGGCTCCAGTAGAATTCACTTCCTCAGTATATAATAGTTTTGCAAGAGTGAAGGCTACTTGACCTCCACACATACCGATCTCATGACCCTTCCCTCTTAAACATGGCTTAGTTTTGGATTTGGGGGTTTTACGTGTCAGCACAAACATTCTCTTTCCTTGTGTGTAGGAAATACACAGACAACTTTAGATGGCTGATCATCCTTCATGACATCCATGAAATTCCACTGCAGAACTGGAAGGGATGCAATAACTTGGGGGAGAAGGGAGGAAATCATGCTTTATCAGGAAAGTGTGGGATGTCATTTTACAAGTGCATTTTAAGCAAATAGAATAACTGTCTTCTCTCAAATCTCCAGTCTCATATTGTTTACTTAATTATTTTGACAGACTTTATACATAACTGGTTTCCTGAAGTTTTTTAAGAAAGCCTTTACAACTGTAGCTATAACAAAAGCTAACAATGAAACTTTTAAAGTTGAAAGCTCATATGCAAGCACAAAGGACAGAGAAAAAGATGATGCCTGGCATCACCATTCATGAGGACAGAAAATAACCTCTACAACTTTTCAAAAATTTATTTCTTTCAAGACATGCTATTTAAAGGTTACTCTGTAATGAAACAGGTACCTTCATACAAACTCAAGCTGGCAGTGTTCCTCTTATTGGTACAATGCCTTTGAATAACTTTTATAATAGCCCAAATAATGTCTTTGTAGAGTTTCTCTAAATTTTTCTGTTTAGGCTGATGTACTTCGGGAGAACATTAAAAATACTGTTTTTTAAAGAAACATCATAAGTGATATTGCTGCTCCAACATCAACACAGTTGAGTAGACTTTTTTAGCCATTTTTCATAACCATTTGTGTTTCTTGGACAGTGCATTAATACTTTGTCATTACCAATGTGCCTGCAGTAGTAACTTTTCCTTTTGGAAGTAGGGAAGTAATTAATAAGAATCTGCTTCTATTAAGATAATTCTTTTGAAGAAATTACATTCTTGTCCCTATGTCTTACATTTTAAAGAAATACATGAATTAATTTATCAAAAATCATGAGATATTTGTCCAAGACTCACATGTGGCACTCACACGTACTGTGCAAATTTTCTCAGGAGATTTCTACCACCCAAATGATATCACTGCCACCCTACCTGTAAGATACATTCTTTTGCTAAAAGAACTTGTAAAGGCTAAAATTATTTAGAACTAATGCTGGCATACAGAAGTGATGACTGATGCCAAACCAACATTATGACTGTCAGAGCTGTAACAGTTTATGTGCTACAGCGTACAATGTATATCCTCTATTAAAAAAGTCTTATGCACCAAATATCACTGACCTATATCATATTGCTAAACCAAACAATAACACCTACCTATATCATACTGATACAATTCTATTCTATGGGAAGTACTCTGACCCAGCTACCATAATGTAACTGTCATCATATATAATCTAGGGTTACTAGAACTTGGCTTCTGCTCCCTCTGCAATTAACTTCCTAATAGCAAGCAAACTAGTTAGACCTGAAAGCTCAAAAGTGGCTATCACATAAACATCTTCAGAATTCAAGTTTTGATCTTTTGTAACTCTTATCCCTCTAATAGTCAAACAAAAACTATAGACTTCCCAGTCTTCAACATATTCTGGTACGAGTAAGTGCATGAGAGATGATAATGTACTCCCCCATGCTCTGACAAAAGCCCTAACAGTATGATAAGATTAGCTTCTAAGTTTGATATACAGTAAATGTCCATGCAGAAAAATGGATGCTGCACTACATGGTTATAAAAATTTGTTTCTGAACCTCCACACTAAGAAGAGAGCCATCACAGCTTCCACAGAAGAACACAAAAAGAAAGCAATTCCAGATTCCAAGCTCACAGCTATTTGAAACATGGTTTGCACTCCCAAGTACAGGCATGGAAAAGTGAGAATGCACATAATCCTTTTAAAGTCATACACTTATTACTGCACTGCATAAACCAAATTGTGCTTCTTGAAAGATCATGTAAATTGTTCAATATCATTAATTTCCAATTAAAAACAAAAACCCAAACTTTTGTTTACATAGAAATAGTCACTGCAGTTCCACAGTGTGGCTGTAATTGCTGCTTTATACATATTTATTTCCATTCAGTGTCAGAGGAAAGGGTATTATTGGCAGGTTTGTTTCAGTGTACCACTCTGCCTCAGTCTCACACAAAGAACTCTTTGTGGGGTCACAGATTAGCATTTGGGCAGGCAGCCAAGAGAGATGAAAGGAGGATAGCTACATGAAGGATGTACATAGCTTACACTCATTAAATACCCCAGCAAAATAAAACGAGAGAAAAGCCCATGTACTCTATAATTTCAGTAGCTGCCCTTTATCCCCTTAGTTTCTGAAAAAGCGCTTTTAGTGGAAGCTCTAGCAATGTGCAGTTCTACTCTGGCACTACAGGTTTCACATTCTTACATACAGTAAGTATTACCTCTGTACTGAGATATAGTAGTATTTTAACAGTCAGTTATAATAATATTGTTCAAAAGAGAGGCAGGAATATCCATATCATGCAGAGGAGACATGTATACACCCCACTATCAGGAAAAAAAAAGCTTTATAGTACTAGACAATACATTTGGAAAAAAAAGTGGAAAGATACTTCAGAATAACAAGCATGTCTGAAAAAATGGCAAGAAAGCTGCCACTGTAGAAATCATTGTGAAGAAAAAGAAAATGCTTAAATTATAAAAAATCAAGACCAAATGTTGTCAAAATACTTTCATCCATATATCTTTACCTACACCCATCCATCTATATAAATTACATGAACCATACAGTGCTCTATTTAAAACATGAAAGGTTGCCTGCAGAGGATGCCAAAGATATCTAGCACTTTGAAAGAATTCCCATTCTTTACATAGTCAGGATATCAAATGATAAGTAGAAATAAATTATAGAGAGATGTATTTGTGGTACAGTAGAGAGAGGATGCAAAAATTGTATTAAATATGGAGGTAAATTAGGAACAGAAGATACTACTGCACAAGAATTAAGGATAAAAGTCTTAGTATTCTAGTAAGCTTCTAATGGGAAACAAAACCTTATCCACTTATTTTACCACAGGTTAGTGGTTAAGAATTCACTGAGGATGACTTAGAGCTGATATTCACTATTCTCTCTCTGTTTAGAAACAGACATGAAATAAATGAATAGCTCAGTCTTCTGTGCACAACTGACCTTCACAACAACCACTATTCACAACTGGCACTTTCTGTTGGCAGTCGGAGCAGAAAATCTAAGGATTACATTGGCACCAAGTCTCAAATATGCTCTGAAACCAAATGATGATCTTCTGAGAATATGGCTCAAGTACCTCATAGTGGAGAACAACTACAACTACCCATGCTATTCACAGCCTGTTAGTATAAGCTTTCTGGTTTTAGCATTGTTAGATTTTCAGCATGCTTTGTTTGGGAACAGTAAGTTTAGGTCCTGATAATTATTAAAATATATTTTCCAAATACAGTAAGCACTGTAAAGGCAAAACAGAATGCTATAAGAAGTGCTACTCACTTCTGAAAAGCAAATTTAATTTTTTTTTTTTTTTTTTCAGCATTTAACAGAATGAAATAAAGAGACTAAGTAGCAAACAGCTAACTATTGCTGGAAATCATTCCAACGTAAAAGTTACATGTGAGTATATACGTAACAAAGATATTACTTTAAATACTTTCTTACCTTTGCATTTTCAATGCAAGGGCAAATAGCCCAAGCTGCACCTGCTTGAACATCTGGGTTAGGATTTTTCAGCAATGACCATAACAAACGAACTCCATCTAGATGGTCAATTATCCTATTGCAGAAACAGACCAGGAAAAGAGGAATAATTATGGCATAGACAACAATAAATATCAAATTATATCAGTTTGTTTGGAACACTGCTTTAAAAGATATTGCTATGATTTTAACATGTGTAAGTGCTTGTTTTATTGTCAGATAATCACCATCAATATATTCGGTACACATTGCTCACTATAGCAGATGAGTTTGAACAAATGATGTCACGACATATTTTCTAACTAAATCTCATTAATGTTTACTTTTTCTCAGAAGTGTCATTCAAATTTTTTACAGAAGATAAAGAAGACTAAACTACATTATAACCAAAACTCATAAATGTGAAACCAAGCATGTGACTTTTTAACGATCTGCATGCTAAATGAAATCTGAATTGAAGCATACTAGCTTCTTTCACATAGTAACAAATACTTTCCAAAACAAATATTTGTGCCCAAAACTATGTACTTAACTTTTCATTCAGTCTATGCTTAATGTATTTACCTTACTCTATGACATATTTTAAAATACTGTGTTCCTATTCTCACATTAGAAATTAAAATGGTCACACCACAGTGCATCCTTTGTTGGGCACGAATAACGTGTAACTTGTTTCCCATATGCTCCTTATGAACAAGACTAACACTAAATACTGTTATAATTACTTAAACACACTGTAATCAAGGTATCCTCGTGACTAGCTGAAATATGAATTATCATCAGAATCATCTCCACACCATCTGTATTATGTTTACATATCTATCAGGCTTGGGAATCACAGTTTCACGTTAGGGTCCAGTGAATACCTTCAGTGGCAAGGAAGGTCAAACAAAACTTAAAAATCTTTACAAACTTTTTTTTTTTTCCCAAAAGATACATTAAACCCAAAGTAGATGACTTGAAGATAAAGAAAATCAACTACATCATCATCTAACCTCAAAAGTAAAAATTCAATTGTATAACATGAGTCTACATCTTCAATGGTAAATACAAGGGAAATTTAAATATAGATTGTACTTAAAAACATTGGATAAAACCATCTCATTTGTGTTCTCCATATAGATGTTTGACAGGAATTACAAAATCAGCTTTGTATGTAATCCTATCAGCATCTGAAGCTGAAAAAATAAAGGACATGAACTCTGTCTAAAATAACCAAAGATTTTATTCCTAACACTTTTATGCAAACTAGTTAAACACCTATGTTTTTCAAAATAACACATTCTGCACAAAGCTATGGTTAAGCTGAGACACTACAAGTTTTTTAAGATCTGCCAGTTTTAATATAGCTTATTTTACATACTTAGTTCTAAATCAACTGCAAGAAAATCATCATTCAAAAGACAAATTCAGAAGTCTCAAGGCAACAAAATTAAGCAGTGTGATCACGACCTACACAATTACATATATATGTTCACATAGTAAGGATGACTTCAGTAAAAGCTTCAAAACAAGCTTTTAAATCCCACCAAACATTGAACATTTTTAATCAAATTTAACTTTACTATCCTGTCATTTCAGAAAGTACATGGAATTTTTTTTCCCTATATTGGAATTAATTAAAAAAGAAGCCATGAATCTTTCTTCTAGTCAAGCAGATTACTGACCATTTACTAACATGAGGTACTTCCTCCCAAGAGGGGCTAAATATAAATGACCCAGCTCCAACCAGTATATAAAAATCAAGAGATAGAACCCAAACATTGAGCTCAGGTTTTTCCACTGTGCTTAAAAAAACAACCTCTAGGATGATTTATCTTTCCTTTCTATTTTTTTGAAAACTTCCTTTTCAATATAAGATTTACTTTCATTTTCTTTTCAGTTTTCTAGTCTTCAGCTTTTCAAGGTAAACTAGACTCACTCTGTGGTTCATTTTCTAGAGAAGAGTTTCATCTTTTGCTTGAAGATCAGAAAGACCAGTAGTCTTAGAGCCAAGAGAACAGCTCAGAATATCTGAAAGTGTAGTCCTCTGTCCATTCAACATGCATAAGAGCAAACTAAAAACCAGTACAGACTAAACAAATTACATTGTTCATCACCAATTACTGCTTTCTGTCAGTAACACCAGATTAACTCAAACAAAAAAAAACTCTACATACAAGAATGATGCTCTTAAATTCTCATACTGGAAGAATTCTTGTTGTGTAATCACCATACAAGCACAAAACCTTTATTTTCATCTTGCTGAGGACTTATATTTGCCAATTAAGAAAGCATTGATAAAGAGTTCAATTTTATTTTTTTTCTCTCTATGGTTTCCCTGCACAATGTAGCAGATGAAGAAAATGGGTGTTAAATGAGCATATCTGCTCTAAAAGCAAAGGGAACACTAAAATAAATGTCTCCGAAAAAAAGTTTCCTCTATAAAAGTGCTGAGACATTAGTTTCTTGTCTACACAAAAACTCTTTTTTAAAGTGATGAAAAAAAACCGTTTAGGTTTCTTAACAAATAAACAAAGAAAGAGATGGGAAAATAGACCTGTAATTTTGAAAATTTCAGCTCTGATGGCATAAAGCTATTATTCTGATTTGATTCTGTATCTAATTTTTTTTCCCCTAATATTTATTTTAGCACTATTAGCAGGATGCTGTAATAAAGCTGTTAAAGCTGAAATACAAGCAAACGTATCTTAAAATTACTTTGATTTGCCTTCAAGTCATCCACAGTTAGTACATTAGTCACTTTCTGGTTACACTCACTTAAATGATATATTTTATAATAGTTTGTTGACACCATGATGATAAAATTAAACTGCAGTTCAATCTGGATTAAGCAACCACTCAGGACTGTTACAGGAAAGGTCTTTTAATAAAGATGCAGAACACTTTCTTTGAAAACTGAAGGGAATTTCATAAAAGCTGAAATAATAGTTGATATCATAAATATTAATATTTTATAATTTAAAGTTCAAATACCTAACTGCTTTATAGAATAGGTGAACTGAATGTAAATAATGTGTCTAATGTACAAAACACTGTCAATAGTCAAAAATCTAAGCAGGCATAAAAGTCACCCAAAATAGAAATGTAAACTTTATTACAGGCAATTGCCATCTGGTGCTTCACTCTAAGTACACAGCAATAAATAAACATGTAGAGTTACAAGTAGGAGCAAGGATTCTGGACTGCTGTGGGTCTATACCTTAACATAGTAGAGGTTTTTCACAACAGACCTGGACCAAGATGGCCAGCATCCACCTCTTCCCATTCAGACCTCTGTGCCCTGTTGTAGACTGTTCTTATTTGATCACTGATACAATTTAGAACAAAGTGTAGATTACACTGCTCCTCAAAATAACCAGAAGTATTTGTATTGGCAGTCAGAAATAGCTGCAGTGAGGATGTGCTTCTAGCATGCACTCCTGGGCTGGCCAGATGTGATCAGGACAGAGGGGAAGGGGTATGCAGCTCACACCACTCCTACAAAAAGGCAATTGCAAGGTGTATAAGCAAAATGTCTTCCTGGTTTCTACACAGAGCAGCTGATGTATGGTGTATATAGAAATATCGTATGGACAAATAATGCAATTAAACCCATTCAGAGATTACTAGAATGCCTAGGTTACAGTGAATTGGCATCTGCTATCTGACCAGTGCAGATAATTTAATAAGATAAATTTAACAAGATAAATTTTTGGAATTATTGATGACTATTTACAGTCAACAAAAGTAATTCCAAAATTCAACAATAAAGGCTTTTCACATTATTTCATTTAAGAACCTTGATATCATGACATCATTGAACATCATGAGATGTCTGTGCAAGATGTGGATCATAATTCTAGAAATTTACTTTGTTTTCTATGTATATCTGAAACTAGCAAAGTTGTTAATCTGAAATAGTACTTCTCTTTGAATTCAAAGTTCAACATTGAACATTTCCAGTAGAAACTTCAACATGAATTGCTTAAACATACATACTCAGAGCGTAGACATCTGTTTGTCCTATCTACCATCTTTCTCTGTCACAGTGTTATTTGCCAGAACTTTTGAGAACTCTAGTTTAATTGTCTGCCAATTTAGACCACAAATACAAATGTAAATAAACAAAGTTATACTGACTCTGTATTGTGCTCACTGGTAAGATTCCAGAGCTTAATTCTGGCAGAATGTAATCTTGTCTTTTTTGAAAGCACAATTTAGCATATTTCTTAAAACTTTCACTAGTCACTGTAGACGGCTTTGATAAATAGTATTATATACCAATGACTCAAACTCCATTTGTTTGGCTAAAATAATCATATGGTTTAGTTTATAAGATTATAAACCCTCAGTTTTGAACACTAGAGATGAAATCTATGGGTTTTCAAATGAAATGGGCAAACTAAATCTAGTGGCAGTTAAAGAATAAGCACTAGTCCTCTGGTTTTAGTAAGAGAAAAAGAATAACTTGTAAAGAGTTCCTCAAAGACAAACATATATAGAAGATGTGCAGCAGCATTTCTGTGCAGCAGACTGAGTATGAAGAACAGCTACATGCTTTCCACATAAAAGCAAATAAGTTCAGTCACAAAGTTATGCTTTTTTTCCAGGATAAGTCAACTTATTTTTTTGCTGTGAGAGAAGCTGGCTGCTATTCTTTATTTTACACAGTTCAAAAACTCAGTAAGAATCACTTAGTTGTTTGAAGTTGTCTTAAAGTAAAGGTTTGATGCAGAGAAGTAACACTGTTGTACCTTTCACTCTGTAGTTATAGGACTTAAAGTGTCAATCAGGAAACACGGCAGAGCTAAAATATATAAAAAGACATATGGAAGCTATAGATTCACTTATGCCAATCTACCAGTCTCTTTGTGCAGGCTTCCTCCATGGAACATATGATAAGTACACAGCATTTCCCTCAGAAGTTAATTGCACTGTTTCTCAGGGGTTTTACAATCCATAATATTTTCTTTTACCGTGCTCTTCATTGCATACCCCTGAATCATTCACAGAAACTCCCACCAGCTCCACTCTTGGTCTTTATGGTTTCCACATACCTACTGCTGCAAGTATAACCACATTCAAAACAGAAGACTGCTCAACCAAATACTTAGTCTCTAAGCCACACTTTGTTAAACACACATGCAGCTAATGAAATGTAAGAACATCTCTTAAAACTCTCAATTCTGATGTGAGCTTGATACTCCCTTTAAATTTCCCTGATTTGTTCTGGGTTTCTAGTCCCCATGAAAGTCAATGACAGAAGAATTCAGAAAAAAAATCTTAGTTTTCAGAGTTTCTGTAGTGCCAAACTAAAAAAGTGAGTCTTCAAACAGTGCTTGTCTGTACCAGCTGATAAAACAAGCCTCAAGGCTTGCCAGCCAAATTTGTCAGGAGAAAAGCAAATAGTAGAGAACAACTTCTCTTCTAGACCCTGTCTAGCCATTTTCAAGAATAAGTGTGAAATAAGGAATGTAATAGGGATCCAGCCAGATGAACCAGGAAGATCAGGAAAGAGCCAAGTATCAACCTGCAATAGGAAGTTTTTACCATCTCTATATACTTGCAGGCTAGAAGTGGCTTTGCTTTCTACCTAGAAGCATCTTGGCACATCTCCACATCCTTGTTAAGATGTGTCCTTTCAATTAAAAACTTCAGAAAATGTTTACAGAAAGACATTTAACTCTGCAGTAGTTTCTAATAAGGTTACTTACTGGTTTAGTCCCAGTAAAGGTTTTTTTTTTGTTTGGTTGTTTGGGTTTTTTAAATTTTTTGTTTGGTTGGTTTGGTTTTTTTTTTCTTTGGTTGGTTGGTTTTTTGTTTTCCTCAGGGGAGCCCGACAGAGGCAGTGCTCTCAACCCTGTGAAAAACACTCAACCAAGCCAATCATTTACACATGTGAATAGTTGCACTGCTGTCAATGTTTTAACTATTATTTTTAAATATTTTGCTGGTTTGGTATCAAACTTATCCACACCTGTATGAATCATGCCTTGGGAAAAGACAGCAGCATTATCTCTTCCAGTACTACAAGTCTAACTAGCACAATATGTCAGGTACATGTTACAGTCTTAATGCTAATAATATTTTCTGTATAACAGTTTTTTTGTAGTAGTAAAAAGGCTATTCCATTTTTGACCTAAAATGCTTATATTTTAAAATATTTTTAAAAGTTGAGAAACTTCAATAGAGAATTTTTTTATACGAAGAAAATTTGATATTTGATTCCTTTGTCTGCTCTTTGCAAACTCTGTAAAATTTTAAAATTTTGTCCAAAACAACCTGTACTCTCCCCTTCTTAAAAACAAGATGGACTTTGTTCTATCACAATTTTAGCATCAACTTGTGTTATTTTTTATGCTTATACTGACCACATCCCAGTATGAAGCTATCCATACTGGACACTACAAGTGACAGTCATGAGTACTGGAGTATGTCTGAGGTTTTATAAATATCAATTTATATTTATTAGCATGTAAATTTCTCAGTTGATCTCCAGTGTTAATTCTGTTAGGTTAGTACATTACTCTGAATGCTGAATTTTAGTGAGATATGTTGTGAAAGTGATTTCATTTATTTTCTCTTTCATACTACGTGGCTAACTGTTCGTGTTTACGGTTGTGTACCATCTAGCCTTTTGCCACTGGGTGACAGCCAAAGCATGAAAACAAAAGCCCTGTTCAGGAAAAGAATTCCCTGCACTGCTAAATGAATATCAAGTGTATTATGCAAATCAGAACAGGAGGAGCTTAATAAAACTCTCTTTCTAACCTTCCTTATGTATAAGTAGAGAAATATGTTGAGAATCTTGAGGTAAATATCCCTGTAAAAGAACAGTAAGCACAGTAAATGCTGTCCTTAACATTTAACTGGAACATTTAATCATAAAACTCAAGGAAAAAAAAAAACTTTCATAAAATCATAAAACTTTTTTTGTAAGTTGTACAAATCTACATCACAAAATCAAAGAAAGCAGCAACTGTCTCAGTAAAATAGTTGTGTTCTTTGGTTTTGCAAAGGAATAAAAGGCAAGAAAAGTGTTCCAAAACCTCTGAGTTCGTAAAAGTAATAACAGAGAGGGACAAAACAGATCAAATACAAATAATACTCTACTTTAAAAATTTGCAAATTATTTTTCATTACAGTAAACGTGTACATTTCCTTTTAAAATTACTTTGTCTAATTTTTACTATTATTTATGATTTGATAATAGATGTAAAAAGGCAGAACAGGTACCTATCACAAAGCACTTTAAAATGGTGCTGTGTAACTCTGATTTTTAACTTTAATAAAAATCAATTTACTAAAGGTTTATCTGACTGTCCCCCACATGCAAAAGCTTTGTGTTCCATATATTTTATTAATTTTTTTTTTTTTGCTATAGAGAGAGCACATAGGATGTAACTAACCCACACAGTCCTGTGGAAAACAAAAAGTGAAATATACTTTTAAGTCAGATTAGAACTTACTGTATTTGTAGCAGAACTAAAATTAAAAAAAAAAAAAAAAGAAGAAAACAAAACACATTTTTCAGTATTTAAAGTGCTATGAATATGAATAGCTTACATCATATTTTCAGGTTCTGTTGCACAAGCTTCCACTGTTTTGGTGACATTCACAAGAAGTGCCTGATTAGTTCCAGTAAGCAGCTTCACTAGAGGTGGTATTCCACCACATCCACGGATAACAGCTCGATTTATTGGCTCTTGGCAACATTCTCCCAGTGCTCCAACAATATTTACAAGGACTTCTTCAGGCTGATCAGTGAGCAAACCTACCAAAGCTTCTACGGCTTTATATTCCTGAAACCTAAAAGACAGCAGTAAACACAAAGTTGTTATTTTTAGTATGTTATGTAATAAATTTAATTTTATAATTGAGGTATCATTATAATTGAAGTACAGTGTTTAATTTCTGCATCTAAATTATCTTGTTGAAGAAATCACAACACAGGTAAAGCATTCCAAAGAGTTCTTGAAAATGGGACATACAGGATAATTTCTTACTCTACCTTTTTAAATACACTTCTCTAATTCAGCTGTCTAGGAATCTGCAGAGTAGCTTGAAGGGTTTATAATACTTAATATGTGGATACAACATCCATAAATAGCTGAAAACATACTGGAAGTATCCCAACTTCCAGTACTTTTTCCTGCAATGTAGCTAGACTAGTAGTGTATCAGACACTCTTCCACCTGTCCGGACAAAAGGATCACACTTACTTTTTACTAAATATTAGTGTTTGGAGTTTGTCCTGACAGGTTCTATATTTCCTTCAGGCCTTAATATGTGCAATTCCCTAAGGTCAGACCTATAGTTCTTGTAAACTTCTATTGTACTATGCTAGTTTCCATTTTGAAATTAAGACACAAGCTGACAAAAATCTGAACTGACTGCTATATTAATACTTCCCTCATTCCTCATAGCACTTATGGTACTGAAAAACAAAAATATGTTTAAAAATCCTGGAGGTCCTTTCCGACAAATAGATGTGTACTAAACCTCAGAAGTTCACGTTTCAGAAGAGGACTTTGCTCCTCAGTACTGGGGTCATCTTCAAAGTTCTTTTTGTTCAGAACTTAGAGGGTTCTTAACGCTTAACAAATACTGTCTCTTTCTTTCATACATTTTCTGTGATACACCTTGACAATTCCACTTGGTGTATCAAGTTAGATCTGGCCTGTATATTACCTAATAAGTATGCTTTGTTTTATAACTTTGTGTAAATACACGTACTTCATCTACTAAAGAGATAACTTCTCTGAGGATACACAGTTCTCATTAGTACTACCCTCATGGCCCCTAGCTTCTAGAATTATCTACTTGACCTACAAATACTCTGCATTTTCCAAGGGTCAACTTACTTTTGCCTTTTATTTCACACACACAAAAGTATTTTTGAGATTTTTATGTCAGAACTAGAACTGTTTCAAGAAAAGTTAATCTTTCCAAACTGGTTTATCCATATAACAAAGTAACTGAGAAATGAGAAACTCATTTTTCTTTATTCAAGCCTTTGCTTAAAGAGAAAGCTTCCTCTCTTTCTTCATTATTCTTTTATCTGAGAGAGAAAACATCAGCAGCATGAAAAAAAGAGGAATAAAGTAAGCTAACAATTGAAAAAAAACACCCTTAATTTTCTCTAGATGTTTTATCTGTGTTGCATATCAACTGCTTCACACAACAGAATGAGCTGGCTCTGCAACTAGCAGTCTACATAGAGCTGTGGGCTCAAGGCCATCTTGTGTCCAGAAGCAATACAGCTGCTTGCACTGAAACTGGAATCTGAGCTAGTCAGGCCCATGTACCAGCTCACTGCTGAGTCAGTACACCTCATAAATGTAGTTCAGGTACAGGAAATACTGTGGAGTAGTTTGAGGATAATTAAGTGGCCCTGCAGGAACCAACAGGATTTGTTAGTTCTAGCTTCATGCCAGACTCAAGCTCAACCCTTCAGATCTATTTATGTGCTTCTATACTATCTGTTTAGTAGTGCCCTCTCATCTTGAGTTTGGATAGGGCTTACTGCTTCAGACTCAGCACTACATAACACACAAACTCAGTCCAAGTCTGGACCTGTGCCTGGCTAGCAACCTTCATGGAGCTTCAAGCCCTTGCCAAAGATGTGCGAGTAGCTCAAAAATATGTCTTTGCATTTGGACAGAATTATTTGCTACAGCTATACTTACAAGTAAAACAAGCGAGGGCTCATACTCTAGTGCTAAAGACAAGAAGCACAACATAGCATCTATACAGCTAAATTCTCTTGTCCTCACAGTCCAGGGTGTTCACAATTCCACTGTGCCCAACGGAAATAATCTGTTGCCTGCCCTGTTCCCAAGGTGTGTCTGGGCATTTTCTGGGAGAGTGCTTGCTGGCACAGGCCAAACTGTGTAAGGGGCTGTGCTGGCAGTTGAACAGTATGGATAATCATAACATAGGGCCTGAGCCCTGAAAGTTTTGGCCCCGATTAGTTCACTAGTATAGTGAGAGCCATTCAGTCCATCTCATCACTGATTGATTCAGAACCACGATGCTCCCGTGCAGATACCCAAAGGCCACAGAAAAGAAGGATATACTATTCTGAATAGCCAGGTTATGGTGCAATCAAGAATGCAAATAGCAGTAGGACACCAGAAGTATGTAAAGGCCATGGCTCTGCATACAAACACTTTGGAAACTCATTTAGGACAGTAAAGAGCCATACTGTTAACCCTTATTACTGGACTTTTCTACTTGTTATCCAGCAGTTATATATCGGCTCCAGTTGCCCAGCAAACTAAAATTACAGTTTCAGGAAAAGGTTACCTTTTACTGATACTCCATGCAGGCTATAAATCTCAAATTTTTCTATGCAAACAGCATAACTTCAGCAGCAAACATAGCATATACTCCAGTGGAGCAGGCTTTTTTCTTTTTTTGAGGTAAGGTCCATGAATCTGATAAATTAATTTTAGACGAAGGAGCAAAACATTCTCCATCATTAAGCTGCTGCATGAAAGGTGGAGGGTGATAACTCCTGCTGTTACATTATTGGATAACCACTCTGGACCCTGATACTGCGCAGTTGTAGGTACTTAATGTAGGACTCTCATCAGTTAATTCCACTCATTTAGAAGCTGGGTGTCCAGACTAAGCTACCTTCTTGGGCCCTTTCTGTAAACAAGGAGAGAGGCATCAAGGCTAATTATCCTAGATTCCAGTTTATCCCTAAAGTAAGTGGGTCTAATGTGTATTAGATATATACCATAGAATGAGATAATTTGCTCTCTGCTGCTCATGACGTAAAATGTTAGAGCTAAGTTTGCTAACTGCTCTCTGCCATGCAGCAGAGTTCCTGGTTTGTAAGAGGAGTGGAGATATCAGATACATCCACGTGTCAAATGTTTAGTGTGTGGTAGTACACTTCCTGATTCAGTGTCCTGTATCTTAACTCTTCTTCAGAGGTACCAATTGTCCCCATTGATTATTATCATTCTAGTGACATAATGTCTTCACCATAACCTGATGAGGTGATATGGTAATTTTTTTAATACTTTAAAACCCAAGTTGATACTATGAAGCCCAACTGATTATGAAGTATGTTTTAGAAGAATCATGATATAACTATTTTGAAAACAATAAAAGCCCATGAAATCAAAACTTGATAAAGTAATAAATGTTTGTAAAATAAAATTTTTTACTTTGTAACATTTTCTCTGCTGATTGCACATTTCCAGACTGCTCCTGTTACAGCTGCTAAAAGTTGTTTGTTTTCAGAATTACCAAGCAGAACAGACAGTGGTTGTAGACCTCCATGCTGTCTAACCAGGTCACGTGTTTCTTTATGTTCTGCACACTGTACAAAAAATTGAAATATATATATTATGTAAAATGTCATCAAAAGCTAGTAGTAAAACTAGCTAACTAGTAAAAGCTAGCACAGAAAAAAACCTAAATACTTTATTATAAAGTATCTGGATATGCTAATAACTCACTAAGAGAGTTTGACAGTAAGCCACTACTGTATATGCAGCAGTGCTTATACATTGTCCACTTTGGGAGCAATCAAATGTAAACAGCTCTTAGCACAGTATGCCCCACCTCTGTCCATTGGTTACCTGGGCAATTTTGGGCTTGCACACAAGAAGAGCAACAGTTCTTTAAACAGTTTTTAATATGCAGTGAAAACACTCTCATAAGAATTGTCCAAAGGCCCTCAACATTTTTATAAAGTCATTTCTTACACATTAGAAAAATAGTAAAACTAAGAAATACTAAAACTGACAACCATGTGAAAACAAAGGGCTTATCTTGGCTCTGATCTACTGATTAGAATAATACAATTACCTTAAATATAGCACTTGCACAATGCATCTGAAGCTCCTCATGTTCACTACTCAGATTTTTCACAAGGTTCTCAATCATTCCTTCTGTCCTTATTGCAAGTTTGTAACTTGGCTGAAAAGATAAACTGCCTCTCAAATCATTAATATTAATAACACTAATCACAATAATTATACTAGTCTAGGCTTTGATATTGAGAAGTCTTGTACTTTAAGCACAAGTCATCTGCATTGCCTTGAAAATACTACTGATGTTCTCAATATTAATGAAATAAAATCATAGAATCACTTAGGCTGGACAAGAACTTCAAGATCATCAAATCCAACCATTAACCTAACTACCAAAACACAAATTCTCTGCAGTGCTCTTCAAATCACCTGTAAAACTAGATGCTGCAATGCCTACTGTGTAGTCACATTGCTTAAGCAGAGTTCAGAATATTCTGAAAGTTGTCCAGACTGCCTGCTCAGAGCCAAGGAAGAAAAAGATACTTCAGAATGGGATCAAGAACTCACTTCAAGAGCCAGCAGCCAGAACAACAGGTCTATTCCTAGAAAAAGGTTAGATGAATACATTCTTAGAATTAAATTTTTTTGTGATCTTTTCTTCCAAATTTTAACTAACAGGCATTGTAACAGAAGACCATTAATTAAAAGAAAGGAAATACCTTTAGAGATGCATTTAGTCTAATTTCCAGATTTGGTCAGATAAGAAACCCTCAAAAACTTCACCTTCTTATCACAGACTTACTGAAGCTAAAATCTGCCAGGATACTGCCTCTTGCAGCATGCATAAACTTGTGTAGATCAAGAAGCTAACTTTGAAAATACAAAGTGTTTTATAATGAAAAATCTTGAAAAAAATCATGTTCCGTGTCTCAAACTCATCTTATTCAACTTATGCATACTTTTGACCTTAATTTCAAATTCAATTAATTTCAAATACGATTCCACAAATGGAGAAATAACCATTCATCTTATAATGGCAGTGGTAAAAACTTGTATTCAAATTTGAAAACTGAATGTACTTCAACTTGTGAAATCTGTAGAAAAAAAAAAAACACATGAACTCCCTTCTTTTTGCACTTGACAAGACACCATCTTACCCGACTCACTAGGACACTCTACACTGCACTACCCTCCACTGCACTGGATCTCCTTGGCCACACCTGCAGGTTAGCTTTGCAGAATTTAAATGTACTAGTTAACCAGAATGCAGCATCTTAAGTTACCAAATTTAAGTAGAATGAAAAAAAAAAAAAAAAAGATAAAGAAACCCAAACTTATGAAGGATTTAATTTTTATATATTTTCTTTCATGTACTACTCATAGCCTTTTAAATAAAAAAAAAAGTGGTCTTGTCTTTATTACAAAACATCCACTTAATTTTGACCATACCAAACATCTACTTCCTGGTGGAATAAGCACCCTGATTTAAGCGGCAGTCAAATGTAATGCTTCCTTTTAGTAGCCAATTGGTTTAATGATTAGAAATAATTTAGCTATATGTATTTACTTACCTCTGAGGCACATTCTTGTAGTGTCCCCACTACTGGGATTAAAATGTTTGCTTGTGAACATTTGAGCCATCTAGCTAATAATGGAATGCCACCAGCTTTACGGATTGCTTCTTTGTTTTTAGTGCTTTTGCTGCAGCTCCAGAGTGCCAAAGCCCCACAGCGTGCTGTTTCAGTATCATTTGCTTGGTATGATGTTAGGCTGGTTGAGCCTACTGAAACACAGTCCAACAGCCCAACCTAAAAATAAAGTAATTTTTAATTATCTACAGGAAGCTTGATATTATACTGTTTTTTAATGATAGCAAACACTAAGAATTACATACACAACACATTTTTTGACCAAAAATATGCATATGACAATGCATATTTTAACACGGACATTTTAATGTCTGCTTACCAATCTCTTGATTCCTCCATGCTGTCTTACTGTCCTTCGTGCTTGTTTAAACCTAGCAACATTAGCAATTGTTTCAGCTGCCAGACATTTTAGATCTTTATCTGGAGAGTCCAGTATTTTCACCATGCTCTCTAATGCCCCAAGATCTGCAATTGTATGTCTGATTAATGTATTTTGACTAATTTCCTTCAGGATTTTTAAGGAACCAGTCTAAATAATGGAAGATAACAGAAGTTGAATATTATTTAAGTATGCATAAACAGAAAAATTACTTAAAGTGTTGGGTTATCAAAAACATCTTATCTTCTAAATTGAATCAGAAGAAGAAAACTGAAAGTAAAAGATACTGATTTTTTTTTTCTAAAAAATCCTTGAGATCAGTAATATACAGAAACGGAAAAAGAAAAATCCATTTTCTTTATACTATTTAAAATTGAAAATTGAACAAACATTTCCTAGAAATGGCATATTCATTTCTCTATTCAACAGAGCTACTTACCTGACATTTAATTTCTTCTGTATCAAGTAAATTAATTAACACTTCAAGACATCCAATGTCTCTGATAGCCATCTGACAAGTTTCTTGAGAAAGATTGAAATCTCTCATTGAACACAATGCAATTACAGTAGCTGTTGGATTACCTCCCTAAAACAAAGCAAATAATTAACCAATGTGTGAAGTGTATTTAATATAAAACTTAATCTCTTTAGTACCGTAAAACTACTACTAAAGAAGAAACGTTACATAATTTTGATTCTATGGTGTCAAATAACGCATACATAGTAAGAAATGGAATTACTGATAAAGTCAGCAAATGGAATAAAGATTGAAGTAAGAGTGAATAGCACAAGTGACAAATGACTAATATGGCTTGCTGTGAATGGGCTAACAAATTAGGCAGTCAAGTATTGTGAGTTTTGTGTGAGTCTTTGCAAATAGCAAAAGAACACACAGTGAAGATACAGATATTTCAGAGAAGCTCCCTGCAGTCTTTGCATTGATATTCAGTTTGGAAGAAACCAAAGAGACTCCAACAGGAGTCTTCCATTGCGGACATTTCAGACAGTTTTTCTAAAACTGAAGCCACTGTAGAAAGTTTTTATTAAAAAATCCTGACATTGTGAACAAGAACAAACTGCCATTACTAGATAGTATTCAACTGAGTTATACAGGAAACAGGGTAAAATAGCTGATTCAGCAAAAGTGGCATATTTCCTCTTGCTTCAAAATGCCCTCTTTCCAATGACCTGGGAAACAACAAATGTGATGTCAATGTTGAAAAGAGCTCAAGGATTATTCAAGGCCTGTTACCTAAATATCTGTGCTGAACAAACAAGTAGACTATAATAAATAACAAAATTAACATGCATCTGTCTAAATATGGTATTCTTGCAATAATACCATATACTTAAGAATAACCCTGGATCTGTTAAGATAGGTCCTACTTTGCAAAACTTAGCAAGCTTGCAGCAATGGTGATCTAGTTGATATATTTAGCTAGATTTCATACAGATTTTTACAAAGTAAAACTGATAACTTTTAAAGAGACTAAGCCACTCTAAGAGGAAAGACTAAAGGACAGAAAACTGAGGACAGGACCAAATGGTCAGTTCAATAAAGGGATGTGATTTAGTGGAGTTCCACAGATCAGTGTTGAAGTTATGCAATTCAACATGCTTGTAAACACTCTGAAAAATAGAAGGATTAGTTACATGACAAAGTTTGTTCATGATATTATGATTCCAAGCCAGCTGTGACAAGCTGCTCTAGAGAGAGAAATAAAAATTATTGTAAGCCTGGACAAAAGTTGCATTAAGACACATAAGAGAAGCACTATTTGATTTATTTTAAAGTAACCTAATGTATGATTTATTCATAGTCCGTAAATAAATTTATGAGGAATAGGAACATGGTCACAGAGACCTCCACAGTCTAGCACACAGGCTGGATGATTTGAAGTTAAAGATATTAAAATTTAGACTAGCAAAGTGCAAGTTCATAATTGTGTAGTTAATTACTCTGGAAAAAATTACTGATGGTAAGTTGTCCATGCAGTGGAAATTTTCCACTCAATATTGGTTAATTTCTAAAAGATAAGCTCTATTTTAGTGACAGCTACTAGACTAAAAGCAAGAAAAAGATCAAAGAATACACCCGATGGTATGCAGAAAGTTAAATCATACAATAACAATGGATCCTTTTGAACCGATAATACAGATTTACTATTAATCGAGCCAAGAATGAACCCAGCTGCACATTAAATAGGAGGGCTGAGCAACTATCTAACTGCAACAGAAGCTGGAGTGCAAGAACAACGTGAACTGGTGCTAACGGGGAAGTTACAACTTAGAGCACCCAGTAAATCAAACTACAGTATCCATCTCCCCCCAGGCTGCGGAATTCCAGGGAATCTTCGGCTCCCATCCAGATCTAAGCTGTGCTGCCAAGCTCATCTCTTTCAAATGATAAGTTTTAAAACTGTAAAGGAGTTTGAGCTCACCCTTTCAAGAAAAAAATATTTTGCTAAATATTAACATCATACTGAAATACAAAATATTGAAAAACTGAGTGTTTGATAATATGAAACAAGTAGATCTAACAAAAAAGAACTTTTGCAGCCTACTTCTTAAATGTAAACAGAAATAGTAAGACAAATACAGTAAAAAAGTCTTTAAATTTAACATGAACTTCATCAGATAACATAAATATGATGAGAAAACATATCCAAAATAATTATGAGAAAAATACTTCATAAAATTTCAGATTAGTAACTCATATCAGGAAAAACACTTCTGCTAATCAATAAAGTGTATGTGAAAGGCATTTCATTGATAATTTTTATTTAAGTTTCTTTTAACAATAGATATCCATACCATTTCCTCACAGAAAACTGGCTAAATGTAATTTTTTAACATTTGGAACATATAGCGTTCTAAAGGAAGATTCCTACAATTTTATTGTGGTATCTTTTTTTTAATCTCAGTTATCATCTTGACTTCAGAAGAAAATCAAATGTGTCTCAAGAATATATTTTGATCTATTCTGTAAATATGTTGCAGGGAATAAAATATTGTAACAATTTCTCAAATGTTTACTTAGAGAAATCAGTTTATCCACACATACCAAAGTCTACATGATTTTTTTAAAAAATCCTGAAGATACGATTCCAAAATGAGAGAGAATATTCTGTAGTTCGAAAGGACTAAACAGCTGTCCTTTCATGAAGGTTGTGGTCTTTTTATACAGCTTAGACTTTGAGATTTACTTTGATTTGTATTATAAAAAAAATTTCAACAGGTGTTTAAAGAGAAAATTTATATTTTTATTGGTTTACAGAAATTTAAGAAGCATATTGCTAACCTGACAAGTGATGTCTCTTGAGGAGTGTTTCCCCTACAGAGAAACTACATTTATACATAATATAGTAATTAATAATTCACTTACCTTGCATGTATAATAGTTGGCATATGACATTTAATATGGACCAGGCTTTTAAAAAGTAAACAACTTCTAGTTCTCCTATACTAAATAAAAAATAGAACTGTATATAGAACACATATATGCATTTTATTTTCTCAGCTTCAAAAATGCACACACTAAGTGTTTTTAAAGTAAAACCACAATAAAATGTTTTTCATATGTGCTGAAGGATCAGTTCTACAAAACAAGAAAAATTACTGATGGCTTCAAAAACTATTTTTTGTTTCTTGAATTTATCATTACAGTAAGTCTTGCAGTACCAATAGCATAGATTTTAACATGCATGGAAACAGTTCCTTCTCCATTAAGTTGACATAAAATCTGTATCATGTTGTTACACCAATTGAAATCAGATATGTTGAATGCAAAATAAACTACTGGCAGATCAACAATCACTTCTAAGGCTTGAAATTAAACACAGATTTAGTTTAAAATTTGTCTCTCTTCCTGGATAGTAGTATAATATATATATCCACAGATTAAATTAAAAGAAAACAGTTTCACTGCTGCACTATCAGTAAAATAGCCCTCTGCAAAGGAGGTGTAATGTCTCTGTTCTAATACTCAGAGCTCACAACTGAGAATTACAGAACTATAAAGAATGTGCAACAAAGCCTGTCTTTCTTTTATTTTTGAGGTGTTTAACAGATCACTTTTGTAATACAATAATGCACAGATTAAACAAGTTAAAACTTCTTGTATATGTATACTGAGGCAGTTTAGACAACAAAATCATATATAAATTTGCTATCTGTGAGACCAGTCTTACAGGTTTAGTCACCATCATACTAGAAACATCTTTATTTGGCAATGTTTCTGATACCTTCTGGAAGAAATTAATTCAAATCCAGCATGCCTAACACACACTGCTCAAATACCTAGTGAAAGATGTCCTGGACCACGGCAGGGCAGTTGCAACTAGATGATCTTTACAGGTCCAACCCAAAGCATTCTATGATTCTATAATCTCAAGTTATGGTGACTCCTCAACAACAGCAATGATAGAAAATAGCTACCCAGTTAGTTACTGCTGTTACTATTTAGTAAAATTAGCATTTAAGGTCATCCTGGGGCTTCTTGAGCCACAAGAGTTCTGAAGGAAAAGCATCTCACTTTTTTCTCTGTAAGTTTGTTAAATGAATTTTACTGTGAAAAGAACTATTAAAAACAGCTTTGTGCTTACTTTGCAGCCATTACCTCCTAAAGGAGATGAAATCATCTTGATTCTCAACATATATCAAGGTAGTTTGAAGGTCGGTTGCCCAGGATGCTGGACAGGTACAACAAAGTTTTAAAATGGCAGTGTATCAAATAGCAATTAAACAAAAGCTAGTAGGAGGCCAGAAATTCTCCATCATTGTTTTGTAAATCCAGGAAACCAGAAGGCATGATGTAATGGGAAGGATGGGAAGGAAGGTGCTCAGAAGAGTCATCAGTGCCTTTAAAAAAATTACATGAGTAGAAAAGCAAAAATCTCATTGAGGTTGAAGAACAGGAAGTGTAGGAAGAGACTGATCAGGAAAAATCATGAGTTCTTCAGTTGTCTGAAACTCAGGAAGCACTCAAGAGTGCGAGGATAAGATCAAATAACTAAATATGAAAATAAAAGAATAACACAGGCATATAAACACAAACGAAAGTACAACTACCAAGGGACACACAAATTTAAACCATCATTTTTTTTGATACTTCTGTAACAATCCTGAGGGAAAAAAAAACTATTAGTCAACTAACTTTCAAGCAAGCTTTCAGCAAATGAAACCAAGAAAGCTAAAAGGATTAACAAGTCTTTTTTATGCTTTAGTCTTTACTATATTCAAGTAACATACACTTCACATCAATGATAACATAGTAAACACTGCTTATGCTCTCAACATAAATAGTAAGTACTTTGGTGTTTTTCATATTACCTGAGCTTAAAGGAAGCCGTTCTATGGTACTGAGAATTGGCTGATGCCAAAGACCATCATGATCAGTTTGCAGAACGGCAGAAAATAAATCTAGTGTTAACAATGGAACACAACAACATAGATATTACCTATGAATACCACAGTGTTGTCAGACCAAAAAAAAAAAAAAAAAAAATCCAAAACTTTACAGAGAGACACAATCGTATTTTGCAACCTGTAAGATACAAGAAATCATTCTTCTTCAGTTTA